TATATATATATATATATATATATATATATATATATTTACTAGAGGCCTGGTGCACGACATTCGTGCACTCGGGGGATCCCTCTGCCCAGCCTGTGCCCTCTTGCAGTCCGGGAGCCCTCAGGGGATGTCTGACTGATGGCTTAGTGCTGCCCCAGAGGCAGGAGAGACTCCCTCCATAGCTGCTGCACTGAGCCCTCCTTCTGGCTGAGCAGTGCTTCCTCTGTGGGAGTGCACTGACCGCCGGGGGGCAGCTCCTGCATTGAGCGTCTGCCCCCTGGTGGTCAGTGCATGTCATAGCGACCAGTCGTTCCACTGTTTGGTCGATTTGCATATTAGCCTTTTATTACATAGGATATTTCATATCAGTTTATTTATATACAAAGTAAGCTACTTATCCTCTTTATATTTATCATTATTATATCAGTTGTCTATTGTCTTGCTTCTATATCAGTGTTATTTCATTTATTTTTTACTCATTGTTGTATTAATGGAGTAAATGGATAGCTTTACAGCTGACCATTTGCAAACTATATACTATTGAGAAATAAATTTAAATCTTAGTGTTTAAAGGGACTCTAGCATTCTCTCAGTTCAGGATTTTTCAAAGTGGGATGTTAGTAAATCCCATGTGAGTATAAATCCTAATGTTGGGAGTACCTCATTTGAGGGAGATGTGTAGCATGAGATGACTGATATCGAGGAGGGCTCCCAAGGGGTTTCTGTTGTATTTGTAACATTTAATTCTTCATAGGGGTAGTGGTGACATGTTTGTGTATTATAATACTCTCTATGCTCTTTTCTCTTCTTTTTTTAAATAAAATATTCTATAATGCTACCAGAACAAACAAAAGATTCCTATGTTTAAATAGGTGTGAGGTACTCTGGGTGAGAGAAAAATGAAAGTGGTTTTGGCTGGAGAATCGTTTAGGGCTTTTAATGTTCATTTGCTCATTCATTTCCATGTATTCCTGCTGAACACTGCTCATGGGGAGGCATTGTTGTAGGCTAGGGACTATGGCAGAGACCAAAACTTAGACAAGTTCCTTGCTTTCCGAGAGCATGTATTCTAAGGAAACTGTGAGATGGTAATAAAGATGGAGCAGCTAGCATTTCTCATTTGGTCATAAAATCTTTTTATAAGTAGCATCTCATAGACTCCATTTTTTGTCAAGCACACGTTGGGAAATAGGTTCCTAGAATATTGCCAATTATTCCAAAGACATTCCTTAGTGTTGTTTAAAGCAGCAAGGAATCATAAAACTGGAGATGTTTTTAATTCAGGACATTAGAACTACCTTATGATGCTGAGAAACCAAGTTAAGTAAGTTCGAACATTTAAATGGAGGCCTTTTTCACTTTTTGTTCTGCTAGAACAGTGTACTTGGATTTCCAGGTGATACTGAGATCATTGATATGCAGCAGGTGTCCATCAGAATTTTAAAATATCACAATGAGAGTTCAAATATGTCTGTTTACTGGAACTCTCTTCATCTCTAGGATTGTTTATAAAATAGTTTTCCTAAAAATACAGTTTGAGCAGACTAGCCTGATCAGTATGAAGATAAATTTTCTTTCAAAACAGTGTTTAATAAAAATCACATATTATGTTTTATAGCATCTTCATCAGGATAGCATGCTAGCATTGCTTTTTATTTTATGGAATATGGAGATGCAGGAAGAGTTGCCAATTTAAATCTAACTTCATTAGTTAATTAAATGTGTTGAAACAAAGAGCTCAGAATTGTTTTCTCCGTCGTCCTCCAGCTTAACATTTTGCAAAACTGAGCTAATAATAAAAAGGAAGCCTGATTTAAATGTTTTCTCACATTTATTGAGAATTTTTTAATGCAAGCTAATACATTTTTGTAAATTGCTACATATTGTTGCAAAGACATTTAGCACCTTTTATTTCTTGATTGAACTTTCTAGTTTAGCCAAAGAACACATATAGGCATAACCCATAGATACAGATAGCAGTGTGGTAATGGCCAGAGGGAAGGGAGAGTGAGGGCTGGGTGGAGGAGAATAAGGGGGGGGGGGGGGGGGGGGGCATCTGTAAGAATATCAACAATTAAAATAAAGGAAAAAAGTCTTTTAATTTAGAGGTCTGTACTTTTCTGGAAAAGTAGTCAATATGTAGCTAGAAACCAGTGACTGTCTTTACATATCTCATCCTTTAGGTGTGAGATTACCTTGGCTCTGAGTCTTTCTAGGTCATGTCTGTGGTTAAAGTAGTTGATTTTCTTCGTGGAATCCACAGCTGACATGATTATACATTCACTTTCCAGGAGTTTTCTTTCATCTTTGATATCAAAGCATAAAATACCTCTGAGCAGCTAGACCCCGAAAGCACACAACAGAGTTTCTCATTGACAGGGCCCACGCTGAGTTACAGGCGGCTAAATCGCTCCTGGTGAATCTTCCATTGTGCATTGAGTTTCCTGCTACCTTTAGAATAGGTCTAGGAGAGCCTCTGGAAGTTTCAGACTAGTGCTTTGATTGAAAAGTTTTTATCATCCTTCAGGGTTGAGTGGGCATTCTAAGCTCTGTAGGTAACTTGAAGAAAAGAACATGAAAAAAATGTGAACAAAAAGAATGATATCTAATGAGCACAGGTCTCTTAATAAGATATAGTATTAATTGACTATTGTAAGTGGCTGAATACAAAAACTCAGAAGAACCATTCTAAATATTACATATCTCCAACTGAAATATTACCGGTTGCATATTTATAGTATTAAGTTTAGAGTAATACATAAGTCAAGTCAATTAGTATACCTGTCCCTTATTCATGTGAAAAACAGAAGAGGAAGAGAAAGTAAAAAAATTAGAGGAGGGGATGAGGAGGGGGAGGAGGTAAAAAAGAAGAGAAAAAAATATTTATTGAGTGTTTACTATGTTCTAGGCACCATTCTAAATACTGTGCATATATACCTCACTTAATTTATCTAATACCTCTATGGGTTGGTCCTGTTTTTCATTTCCATTTTATAACTGAGGAAATGAAGGCACAGAAAGGGTGCGTTACCTGGCTGGTATGTAGCAGAGCTGGAATGTGAATCTATTTAACCTTGGTGCACATTTCAAGTCCTTAACAACCTCACAGTATTGCTGGTCCCTTATAATTCAGGTCTCTTACAATAAATTTCACATGGGAAATGTCAGTATAAGGTGTTTTATGAGCACCTATTATATTCTGTTTCCTTTTTGGTAACAACGGATTATACTTATAAGTGCTTGAAAATGAAATTTCCTTTTCACATGTAAGTATGCATTCGTTTCCGCTTTATCCTTTCTGTGAAAATCACAATCGGTTGATTCTCCTGTGTAATTGAATAGTGGCTGTATCACTGGCATGTGGCCTCCAAACTACAGGGCTGCTCTGTAGTTTATGTTGAAAACCTTATTTAAAGTTCTTTCAGCCTATTTGGTTCCTCTAGAAATTCAAACTTAATTCACCATTAAGAGGTATCTATAATGTATTCTTTGAATATATGTAAGCATTGAAAAATCACATCTTCTTGTTATATAAATGTGTACAATAGTTATAAGCATTTAAAACCACATCTTGAGCCCTAGCCGGTTTGGCTCAGTGGATAGAGCATCAGAAGGGTCCCAGGTTCAATTCCGGCCAAGGGCTCATGCCCAAGTTTCGGGCTCAATCTCCAGTGGGGGTTGTACAGGAGGAAGCCGATTGATGATTCTCTCTTATCATTGATGTTTCTATCTCTCCCTCTCCCTTCCTTTCTTTCTG